AATTAAAATATGTACTTATAGTATTTATCATGTGAAAACACTCAAAGATTACACGTAATAAGTTTAATTTATCTTCCATCCACATATTTATCTAAAAAAATAAAAATACGGGACATAACGCATATTATACAAATTGAAAGAGCGGTGAAAAGTGTCGGTGAAAGTGATGAGCAAAGCAACGTCGAGAAAATCCACAGCCAGACAGTGGTTCTAAGCGTGCTTCTTTTTCATGTTGATAGTCTAGGTGTTATAGAAATGATGCGTTCAACACGTTGTATGAAAGGGACAAAACTCAAGTTAATTTTAAAGCTTCAAAAATGTAGACCCCTGATGGATAATGGTTTGAATATCATTGGTCATATTTAATGAAAATGTGATATGATATTCCACTTGACATAACCAAGAGAGGCAATGATATCGACCATATGGAACAACAATCTGGAATATCCAGAGCCGTTTCTAAAGTGGCTATGAGAGATGATTTGACCATGTGAAACCATGATTCGGAATAAAGTCTAGAACGCGCAAAAATTGGTCAACTTAAAATTGGTGTATTTCTGTTGAAAATGCATAAAAAAAACCTGAAATGTTGCATTTGGAAGTTGAGAGTATATACCATGGTTGCTATGATGAGTTTTCATCAAGGTTGCAAATACTCATTTCAGCTAAAATAATGTTTTTCGGAATAATAAAACCAACAGATGGTATGATGACATGTTTTACTTGTAACTTACAAGAAGAGGCTACAAAGTATGCGTTTGAAACATAAAACCTGTAAATTTTGATTTCTATGAGTCACAATCAGCGATTTGCTGATAGCTGAGTGAGTGAGTGAGTGAGTGAGTGAGTGAGTGAGTGAGTGAGTGAGTGAGTGAGTGAGTGAGTGAGTGAGTGGGTCAAAAATCGCTGATTGTGACTCGCATGAAGTGAAATAAACAGGTTTAATATGTCAAACACATTCTTTGCCACCTTTTCTTGTATCTTACCAATTCAAAATATGATCATAGCATCTAATTATTTCATAATTTAAAAAAAAACATTGTTTTAGCTGAAATGAGTATTTGCAACCTTGGTTTTCACCGGTTGCTCTCCAGTTTTCAAAATGACGTCCAAGCAAGAGGAGCAGCGTGTCAAAATTTTGCTCGCGCAGCAAGAGAATCCGACGTTCTCACACGCCAAGTTAACAAAATTGCTGGATGTGGCCAAATCGACTGTGATAAACGTTTTAAAAGTGTTCGGGGAGCGTCTGTCGACCGCCAGGAAGCCTGGAAGCGGCGGCAATTGGAATCCGGACGTGGCAGCAACGACGAAGAAGGTGGCGGTGAAATATCAGCGGAATCCTAACCTCTCCATCCTCCATCTCACTGACAAGCTCAATGTCTCCTATATTACTATGCAGCGGGCCAAGAAACGAGCCGGGTTGTCAACGTTTAAGAAGGTGAAGGTGACGAACCGAGATTACAAACAAAACACGTCGGCAAAGCCGCGGTCCCGAAAGCTGTATACGAATCTGCTCACATAGTTCGACTGTGTCGTCATGAACGACGAAACTTATGTGAAGGCGGATTTCAATCAGCTTCCGGGACAGGAGTTTTATACCGCATCAGAAAAAGGGAAGGTGGCTGAAATTTTCAAAATCATCAAACTATCGATGTTCCCGAAAAAATATCTCGTCTGACTGGCCATATGCACGTGTGGTCTAAAAAGCGGCATTTTAATTACTACGGGAACCATCAATCAAAAGATCTACGTCCAGGAGTGCCTGGAAAAGCGGCTGCTACCATTCCTAAAGCAACATAATAGACCTGTGCTGTTCTGGCCGGACTGGGCAAGCTGCCACTTTGGGAAAAAGGCAATCGAGTGGTACGATGCGAACAACGTGGTTGTGGTACCCAAAGACCACAACCCTCCCAACAGCCCAGAACTCCGCCCTATTGAACGGTATTGGGCCGTGGTCAAACGGAATCTGCAAAATTTAATGGAAGGGATTAAGCGGAAGGCACGCCATTTTGGATTCGGCAAACCAAAAGAATAAACGAACATTGTTTCCTTTAAATATATGAAAAGAAAATATACAAAAATAAAAATAAGAAGATTTTTGTGATAAGAATTTTGACTGAATGAAACGATTTTTTTGTCGACCAATTTTTGCGCGTTCCAATCTTTATCCAGAACCATTTCTACGGAGGCCATATGGCTTCATGGATCTCTTTTGTGTGCCATTGGTCATTTTTCGTTAAGTTGATGTGATTTGATAAGTCGTTTGATAATGATATTGATACTGAAAATATCCGGAACCGATTGTATGGTGGACATATTGGTTATCGTTTTTAGTGCCATTGGTCAAATTTCATCGAGTGGATGTGATGTGATATGTCGCTTGATATGGTTATGAGAGATATCAAATATGACCATACGGAACCATAATCCAGAATATCCGGAACCGGTTCTACGATGCACATATGGCTCTATGGACGTCATGTTTCATAGGTTAAATTTCATCGAGTAGATGTGATTTTATATGTCACTAGCTGAGTGTGCCCGGTCTTGCTCGGGATTCAATATTAGCTTGAGTTTATGCGCCGATTTAAAAAAAATATGCTATATTGTACGTAGCCCCCCCCCCTATTATCTAAGGGGCTACCCCCTATCCTTATACCCCCACACTCGCCCCCACATGCCTAATTTGGTTCCATTTGCTTGATTAGTTCTCGAGTTATGCAGAAATTTCTGTTTCATTTGTATGGGAGTTTTATGGAGGCGAACCAGCCCAAGGCTGAAAGCCTCCCTAATAAAGATAAATTAATTAATTAATGGTATGGGAGCCCCCCCTTACAGAGGGGTCTTGAACCATCATAAGAACCTTTCACGGCCCCAAAAACCCCTGTATACAAATTTTCACGCCAATCGGTTCAGTAGTTTCCGAGTCTATAAGGCTCAGACAGACAGACAGACAGACAGAAATTCATTTTTATATATATAGAAGATAGATTTTATATGGTTATGATAGATAACCCAAGTAACCAAAAGTTCTGATAAAAGGCTTTTTGTGGCTTAAGCAGCATGGTTGAAGGTGGTCTATAGAATTCTAAGCAGCCTCATTTTTAAGTCGTTATAAGAACTTAAAAGTTCCGGTACCATAGTTGAAGAGCATTCTAAGCAGCTTCTGGCGGAACTTGAACGGAACTTTTAGAAAATAAATTAAAAAAGGTTTTTGTCCTCTACACCAATTCTATATTTAAGTTCGCACTTTTATGAAAGTTATTTCTAAATGCAGGTATTAATTAATGCAGGTATTCATCATCATTAGTAGTAGAATTGGAACTGTTTGAAAAATTTAACCCCGTCCTTCTGCGTGAGAGTCCCAGCACGAACCGCTACGTCATCTGAAATATATTAAAGTGAGCTGTTGTCCCGCCTACTGTTGGAGTTTTCAGTGCCATCTGACTGTCTTGAATACGAAACACAACACCTTGATGAATTTTAAATTGGTGTTTGTCCGCTTGGTATTCCAACACATTTGTGGCGCAGTGGTTAGCAATCGTAGATCGCATGTTGAATACACGGGTTCGAATCCAGGAAATTACTATTCAATTTTTTTAATGTTTGGTAGAATGTTGATGCACTGCATAAATATAAGAATTATTATTTAATCAGGCCACTGATAATTTCATATTTACGTACATTAAATTTGGTTACTAATAAAGATTTGAGCGGATTGAGCTTGAAAGTTTTGTCGGAAATTTATTTGAACTTAATGGAACTTGAAAGTTCTGTCAGAACTTTATTCGAACTTTATGGAACTTGAAAGTTCTGTCGGAACTTTATTTGAACTTTATGGAACTTGGAAGTGATTTTAATCGTTGAATGCGGAACTTTCGATTACTTGGGAATAAATATGATCATATGGACCAATAATCCGGAACATCCAGAATCGATTCCATATGGTCAAACAATTCCATTGGGTTTGTCACAATGATAGGCAAGATATATGATAAAGATTTCACCCCCGTGCTAACGAATTCTTGAATATATAACAAAGAGAGAGCTGCCTGGGGGGAGTACCACCCAACAGATGTAAGAACCAGTCACCGGAATGATGTATCTCTGAGATACAAATGATTGAAAATAAAATGTTTGTCCCGGGCTTTTATGGGTTAACGAGTTCCACAATATAATCCAATATTACCATTCCTATACATCTCAATCATGAACCAAAACATACTGATTGCCGCACCGCGTTTTGTAGATTGTCGATTGACGTTGAAAAAGATTAACAGCATTCCAATAGGACTGCGAATATAGCACTTACGTAATCAACCAAATTATTTCCACTGATCACATTTTTTTCCTTGATTTGTTTTCCGTGCTGAGCACCAATGCTCCCGACGCCAGGGAGGCAGCTCCCACACCTGGACCCTACATATCGACCCATCAACTCATGAAACGGGGACCAACGGCTTTACTTCCCTTCCGAAGGAAGGCGTGATGTTATGCCTCAGAACATCGTGGCAGTGCCGACTGGAATTGAGCCCATTCCTGCTGGGGTGAGAGATAATCACGCTTACCACTACACCACTGGTGCCGCTACTGATTACATTTTGAATATTTACATATTAATTTGTAATTTTGCATATTGACCTGAAAGACGAACATTCCAAATTCGACATAAATTCTCATTTGATTCACTCCTAGTGTAGATAAATAAATACATTAGTAGCTCTTTTCGCCGCAGAAGCGCTCTCAACGTCATGAAATCGGTTCGTCAGCAAAACAGAAGAGTGAACCATATTGTTGCTATGATATATTGGATGTAACGAGTTTTGAAATACTAGCCGTTTTTTTTTTGCAATTCATAAACCGAGTACAAAAACTACTAACTGATACAAATAATGAAATTTTATATAAATTTAAAGCAATACATTCAATTTCAAAATAACTCATCGATTCAAAACTCTGGACACGACTCGATATGATACATTCCTCCAACACCCAGTTACCTTGTTCTCTACTGGAAACCGATTTGATACTACAGGATGCATCTTGCGATCTGCGTGTGCGTGCGTGCTTCAATCCATCTGTGTGCAAACACAAGAAATACAAATATATGTGCTTTTAGTTTTGTGCAACCAGGTTAAAAACAAAACATTGATTAAAATTTGTCCACCGCCACGAACCTACAATAGAGACCTATTAAGAGACCCAGCATGACCCATCCTATTTCCCCAATAGCCTCGGTAGCTGACAACAGAATTGATGAAAAACCGAAACTCACCTCTGGCACATTTCTGAAACGCTTTGTCGTAGTACATCACAGCAATGTACACGATATACAACAGCACCAGTATCAGTGCCTCATACCACTCGACCCGTTCGTCGTGGATAATGCAGATCAGTATTGCTACCGTAATGCCATAGGCAAGGCAGTCTCTCGTCAACGGCCACCAATCGAGTGGAACTACCTGGAACAAAAATGCAATCGCAACCATACATAAGTGAAGCCTTCGTAGCCTAGTACGGAACGAACGACAAAGTAAGGCAAGCTTCCTTTCTTCATTTCGATTAATACCAACCATTCCGGCACCGATCCCACAGCAGGCGGCCACTGCCAGGATATTGAACACCGCTGACCCCACTATGGTGCCAACGCCGATGTCGCCTTCGGTGATGAACGTTCCAATCACGTTGACGAACAGCTCCGGCGCCGACGTCGCCGCTGCCATGAACGTCGCTCCGGCCACGTCGTTTGACATGTTTAACGCTTGGGAAAGTAACAATCAACATTTATTAGTTCAGATCTCACTCACTTGCTTCTTTTTTAGGTCAGGTATTTATATATCAGATGCAAACACCTGTATGACTCAACTGATTAAGAAGAACAACAGCAGCTTTAATGTGACTCACCATGGCATATTTTTTCGACGGCAGGTACAAAATACTTATCACATACTACAGCCAAAGCTACAAATAAATATAAACTAGCGATTGCGTGTAACACTATGGCCCCGTTCTGTCTCTGTTGCACCGAGAACAGATCTGACGGGAAGTCCTCTATCGCAGGTGGTGTACAGTTCAGCCCTGTGGAAGAAAGAAATACCAATTGATAAATCTGAAATTCTAAGATGCCCCACCATCAGTGATAACCAAAACGATTTGCATATATACGCGCAAATGAATCTCATTACACGAGATCAGGACAGCGTTCTTTGATTTGAGAGTGCAGATTTTGTCATGCTTTGAGGCTACCCTATTTATGCGCGTTGAGGTCGTGTGGGAGTTGATAATCTAATTTGAATAACCGCAAAGTAACTTTTGCAAAATATGTCTGTCCTACGAGCATCACTAATTAAAGCTACGTTCTAGCATTCTTATCTACTGCCACGCTACTACGTGGCGCCTTATGGATTATAATTGAGTTAAATTAACGGCAATTAGCGATACCATGTGAGAATTGCTACGATGCGGCTTTTGCTATTGAGCTTAAATTATCTGCAGACGGATCTCTCGGGTCGGAATTGTATCGGTCAAAGCAAGTATGTCGGTCTTGATATATATATTCAACACAAAATATCTACGTTCTTTATCGGGTTTGAAATTAACCGAGGAAGCAAAAGTTTACCAACCAACATAGGCGAAGTTAGAATTTCGCTGGGGGCAACTGAACCAGATATTTATATTTTGTTTAGCACTTTCAAGATTCTTGAAAAATGTTTCAAATCCAAATTTTTTTAGAACCATAATTTTTTTTTCAGCCTTTGAGTTCGAAAATGATGATTTTGTATTTTTTTGTTTTTGAAAAAAGCTACTAGATCGAACGTTAATGGGCTGTATTAGTCATTGGACCGAAGATTGAACTGTGATTTCTGTGAATTTAAAAAAAATACATCTAATAAAAATCATTTCAGATGATTACAGACTTAGAAAAATCCTCGAGATTTTTCAAGAAACTTATTTCCTGTGCTTAAAACAGTTATTTACAATAAATAGCCAGCATTTGGACCTCACGATTTCATGAACTTTTTTTTTTATTAATTACTTTATTTGTACAGGCTCAATCGAATAAACTTTACAGAGCCGAGTTATCATTTTCGTTATACATTATTGCTGTCTTATATTTAAAGTTAAAGGAGCTGGACCGGATACCCGCGGTTGTCTCGAGGTTAGTGGAGATTTACAATTTTTTTGGATGGGAAAAGGGAGAGGGAGGTTTGAAATGTGGTTTACGATACAAATATTTAATTAATCCTAAAACATGAACTAATTTCTATTCATCTTGAAAACAAACATAAAAAAAAACCTCACGTACAAAATACAAACTAAACACAAGGTTAATCAAACTTACAATCTAATGTTAATATTCTTAAAGTAAACATAAATGAGTTTCATAAACTCCAGATCGCGTCTAGCCAAAATATCCCGAACTGGAACATTAGGTTGTCTAAGATAAGACTTGATTGTGCCAATTTTCAACCAAGTCGTTCAAATAGTTTATTAAAAAATGCAATTGAAACAATTGGTTGATATTTAATAAAGGATTGAAATTTTGAAACTTTATATTTTTATGGGATTAATGTCCCAAATGTTCCAAATATTGGGCCCATACATAAATAACAAAGGATAGCATTTTATGAAAAATTTATTGATTTTCAATTTTAAAATTCTAAGTATTTTCCTGGTTAGTAAGTTTAATATATCAAAATTTTCGGGGTTTTACAAATTGTGTTTAAAAAAAATTGAATAATTTTATAATAAAATTGAAGGTGATTTTCTGTTGCTTTATTTTTTTATATGATGATGGTCCCACCTCTTGCCCCTACAAAGGTTTGAACTGGACGATTTATCTTTAATATAATTAAACAGACAGTTTAACCAGGTTTGCAAACAAAATCGAACTGGTTACAGTTACAGATATAAATTCCCTCTATAGTTAACAGTTGCTTCACAGCGATATAAATGTGGAAAAGCTCAAGCGTCCACCTCTTAGTTCGCCTGTCTGTCCACCTAAAATATTCATAAGTATTACAAGCAATCAAGAGTTAATTAACAATCAACAAAGCATCCTATTACACTAGCAACCCCACAATCTGATGCTATCATAATTTTCAGAAATGTCAGGAATGCTCACGAACCCCCAAAATTTGCCAGAAAACTTAATACTAACTTAAGGTATCTTCCAGCCAGCGCAGGTTGTGTAGTGGTAAGCGTGAATACTTTCTCACCCCAATGAGTGTGGGTTCAATCCCAGCAGAGGTCGGTGGGATTTTTCTGAGGCATAAAAATCTCTGGTCACGTCTTCCTTCGGAAGGGAAGTAAAGCCGTTGGTCCCAGCCCATGTGTGTTGAATGGGTGCGATATCCTACGCAGGTGTGGAAGTTGCTGCCTTCCTTGCACATTCGATTGCCATCAATGGATGGCAATCGATGTTCGTCGGTGATTGGCACTTGATTGCGGAACAGAGACCGACGTTAAATAAAGGAAAGAAGAAGAAGGTATCTTCCAAATAAGCTTCAAATTTGAATTTTTTTTTTCAAATGTTAAATTCAGTCCTCTATATCTGTAATACGCGCGCGAGGCCCAAACCTTTGTAGACTACTAAAAAAAATATTTTTTTACTACTACTATTAAATCAAATATCAAAATTCCATCATCACCATCTTGGCGAACAAAATAGTTTTTGCAGTGCTAAAATAATTATTAAAAAGTCGTTTCTGGCTCACCCACCCCAGTAGTGGAGGTACTAAGCCAATTTATTAATTAAAAAACTAATATACGATGTAGGAACACACAATTGTGATACGTCAATCTATAGCTTTCAACCTCTATTTTGATAGAAAAATATTACATAGGGGAATTTACGTATTCTCGTCAATCTAAGCAGCGTCCGCACTTCTATTAGCATTTTCACAGCGTCACGCACATATATGACGTGTCTGTTTGTTTCAATTCATCTGCTGCTTGCTTCTCTATCCATTCCAATCGACAGAATTCTTCAAAACTGTTTGAAAGCGTTTTTACAACGCTCTAAACTTCTCAGGTGAGTGTGACTATTGTCGGCAGCCTCTTTTTCTTCGGCAACCTTCCCATTAGAACTGCGTGTTAACCAGCTGTTCTATTATCAGCAACTCGAAATCAGCCCCATTTTGTATTACGTATGCTTCATTTGAAGAAAAATCTGGCATAAAAGGATTGCTCGGTCCTACAAATATAATCAGATTGAAGCTGAAAGACTAAAGAATCATTTGTATACATTCAGGGAAGTGTGTTGATGGTAAAACATAGTGAAATTAACGTTTAAATTTTGATTGCCGAAAACAGTCAATGGGTGCCGAGCCGACATTTACCCTAGTAATAAAATTGCATAAAATTTTAGAAAAATCGTCCTCAATTAATAAAAACACTGTTCCAGTAGTTGTGTTAGTTGCTAACTTTGGTCCCTATAATAGTGGAATGCGTTGGTTTCTTATGGGTTCCACTATTATAGGAACGATAGGTGCAAAGAAGTGAAAATCTTAAGGAAAATTAATTATTTTCCGTCACATTCGGGCATATTTTAGGTTTGAAATATGCAAATATGCTTTATTTTACAAGAGCTACAGATGACAAATAATCTTATTCGGGTCCTCCTCACTATTCCGGCACCAACTCCATACCGCAACTATACCACTATTACTGGAACACTTACCCTAACAGCTATCCATACAAAATAATCCGTAAAAATAACTTCGTCAAGATACATAATTTACAGCGGCATCGGTGGGGTGGTGGTAAGCGTGATTACCTCTCACCCCAGCAGGCCTGGGTTCAATCCCAGTCAGCGCCACCGGAATGTTCTGAGGCATAGCATCTCTGATCACGCCTTCCTTCGGAAGGGAAGTAAAGCCGTTGGTCCCCGGTTCATGAGTTGATGGGTCGATAGGTAGGGTCCAGGTGTGGGAGCTGCCTCCCGGGCGTCGGTAGCATTGGTGCTCAGCACGGAAAACAAGATCGACGGAAAACAAACCAAGGAAAAAAAAAGTTACATAGGGTTTGTGATCTAATTTCCGTCCTACTGAGCACAACCCACGCTTTACTTCTCTTTATTGACTGAGTTTTAACAATGAACGAAATATTTCTATCAAAGATGACTTCTAAATTTATTCCACTTTCCATAAGTACCGTTGAATTTGATAAAGAACCACACATTATTGAGATATTGTTAAAAATCTAACACTGCTTCTTGATTCCAAATTCGTCCTACGAGTTTCAATTCCGTCCAAACGCATTGAAACGCTTTTGGATTTTCTTCGTCCTACGGATTAAGGTAGAAAAAGCGGTAGATAATTTTACTACAAAAATCTTTGCTGAACACACCAATCCTCTATACTCCTTAGTTTTTGAGATAAATACGTAGCGTTTTATATGACTGTTCAACAAAATTTAGGTTTTTTTCAGTTTTTATAACGTATTTAAAAAACAATAGGTTTTAGAAGACTATAGTTCCACAAATATTTGTATTTTATAAAAATACAAAACTTTGTTCCAGACGTCCAAAACGTATCGATTACACAGGCTGAGTCATTCACAAATTTAGTAAAAAACATTACATATTTTGTGCCCTCACAGACAAAAATCCAACAAAATCCCTCAGTTGAATCTTGAATAGGATGAAAGCTTGTTCAAAAGTGATCTCAATTTCCATTGAAACATTTGTCCCTTTTAGTATCCTCGTTGATTGTTTTGTATTTTTTAAAGGTCGTTCCGTAGTTCAGTGACAGCACGCATTTGTCAAAGACTGAATCAAAGTAGGCTCTGTGATAATATAGCAAAGTATTGTCACTAGGGTGGGACAAAATTCAAATTCCAGTTCCAGTATGATTTCCGGGGGCCTTCTGGGTCCTAGAATAACTGTGTAAAATTTCAGGTCGGTCGGTGAAGCTATATTTTAGCACCAGCGGTTTTAATTTTACATAGGATTTTCTATGGGAAAACTTACTTTTAAAAAAAAAAATCTGGTGAGGTCACTCATTGTCCTCTAAAAATAAATCAACCCATATACTCCCTAAGAAATTTTACAATGTCTATGTCTATGCGGTCAAATG